GGTGTTTTGTTAGAAAATTGTTACCCCACCCAAAGGCAATAAAAGGGTGCAATATGATATCTGGAATGAGCGCATCAGAAACGACCTTCATAGGCGAGCTCAGAAAAAATCTGAGCTAAGATTTTAGAACTAATTAGACGAGTTGAAGTGGTCTTCGCTATATATTCATTATTGCCAATATGTGGCACGGTACCATGTATAGGCGTAGTGCCCACTCGAATTGTATTTCGGATTTTTTACTTTTTCTCGATCATTTCGGTCTGCTAGACACGAGCAAAGCCAAAAAAAATTTTTTTTCTCGCCCAGCATCGCGTTTTCCCCGGTCAAATAAATATTAGCTCAATCATGGGACCCACTATCGTTATCCAATGAAAACAAAATCGTGATTAAAATTTTTTTGCTTTTGCTTTTGAGGTGCTCGAGAGTGGCTGGGATAGCGGCGAGGAGCAGCATGGCATTGGCAAATGGGCCTTCCCAGTATTTTACTGAAATTCTGGAAGCATAAAAACATAATTTGCAGGTTTCGGGACTACTATATTTGTGCGAAATGCACTTGCCATATTGAATAAGATCGCGGAGGCGTAAATAAGGCGTGTGGCGTATCAACGAAACATCTGATTTGAAGCTCAGCTAGAACATATTACTTATATAAAAGTGTCCTCGGAACATACCAACGCCCATGACGGGAACTCGTCTCGCCGTGAGTAGTCTTCAACCTTTGGATCCTGTCGTATCGTTGTAAATAAGACATGCATCTAGAAAAGGTCGATAAACGTCAATTTGCTAGAGTTAAAATCAAAAAGCAATCATACCAAACCTACTGCTGGAACAAAGAATTTCCAGCATATCTCCCACAAACGCGAATGTGGTCCTAATGTAGACAATATGCCGTTCGAACGCATTCCGAAAATATCAATGGCGATTTTCTGAACATGCTTATAACCTGAAAATTCTAAAGCATAATGCGGATAACATCAATGTTTGCAGTTACCGTAAATATGCATTAGCATCAGAGCCTCCACTGAAACAACGAGGCACAACGAAGTTGAAGCACAGAACTCGTCGAATAAGGTAAACCAGAAATAACCACTCTTAAAATTTTTAGAACACGTTCCTCTCTCTCATTTCA